ATTCCAGTGACAGAGAGCAGCAGCTTCACACACTAGACATTAGAAGAGCACTAGCATTCTCTATTGAGCACACCAAGCCATTCAGAAAATCAAACTGTTCATGGCGATAGCAAATAGGAAGGCAGGGCAGTTGGTCTCCTCTCAGTGTATCTCCTCATGGGGACCATGGATTGCATCTGAATGTACTGTGAGCTGGCCAGGGTCCCAGCTCCCCCATCACAGCACATCTGAAGAGAGCCTGAGCCTCCTCAGCAGCCTTCCTGGCTCAGGCTCCAATTCAGGGAATCTGCAGTGCTGCCACCTGGCCACAAGTGCATACACTCACCTCTCACTAGGCCATCGTCCAGCGTGCTAGAAACAATGCGACTTTTGGCAGAGCGATGCACCAAACAGTTCTTCCTTAACTCCAGCCACACCTCCAGGGGAGAGCTGAGGAGTCACCTGATTGGAATTACATGAACAAGCACTCAAGAAGAAAAGACCGTTGATCACCTTCTTGTAACTGTTGTTCTTCGGGATGTGTTCACATCCATTGCAATGCCCATTGTTGGAGTAACCGGCCAGAAGGAACTGAAGTGGGGAAGTATCAGCAGGGTCATTTATTGAGTGCCCTAGAGGTGGCACTCCATGGGGCTGCACAGCCAACCTGTGGGGGAAAACTTTCCAACAATTGTACACGGGGCATGCACACCTGATTGGAATAGGCATGATCAACACATCTTGGAGAACAACAGTTATGAGAAGGTGAGCGACCGTCTTTATTGCATTTTTGAAAAGTTTTCAAGGTGACCATGCTATGTGTGATCTCTCCATAGTCCCATTCAATGCACAGTGTATGTGGAGATAGAGTCAGAGGAAATGCTTTTTGGAACTTTCATTTCAAATGGCGTAAATTGCATATATTTTGACTTCTTTTAACACTTAAGCATTCTAATATGCGATTTTAAGGGACGTTTCCAGCCTTAGCTCTCTCAATTTTTTTTCTGGGAAATGAAAATAAAACACACCAGAAAATATGATGAATGGAACCAGTCCTTTACTGATTGGTCTTGAGGAGAAAACAGATTAGATAACATCTGATTTTTCCATTTTCTCAGTTCTATGAAAAATAGTAACCAAGATTGTGTGATAAAATCTGTTGTTTTTTTAATTCTCCCTCATGGCACTCCATCTCTTCCCACAACTGAGTCATCTATCTTCATTTACTGCAATCAGACCACAAAATCTTCCTCGTCAGAACTGTATTAGGATCAAGCAGGCCCTGTGTCCCCCAAAAATGCCATGGTCACCCAGGCAAACGCTACCTCCATAGCCACCAAAATAAACTCTTGGCTTACTTACAGCACTCCCCCTGAGCTCTTAATAGATCTTAAAATACTATGGTAAATGGGGAATTATCTTTAAGTGGGTTATAACCCCTGATAAAGTTAGCTGGTGACACGCATATTGGGAGAGTGGCAAACAGTGAAGAGGACTGGTCACTTAATCCAGTGTTTCTCAACCTGTGGTACATGTACCTTTAGGGGTATGCTAGAGAAATCTGGGGAGTACATAAAGTGAAATTTAGCAAAAAATGCCTGGGATTTTGCCCTACTAAGGGGATTGGGCAGGGGGTGGCGGCACGTGCCTGTCAAATAGAATGATCGGAGCGAGAGTGGCAAACAGTGAAGAGGACTGGTCACTTAATCCAGTGTTTCTCAACCTGTGGTACATGTACCTTTAGGGGTATGCTAGAGAAATCTGGGGAGTACATAAAGTGAAATTTAGCAAAAAATGCCTGGGATTTTGCCCTACTAAGGGGATTGGGCAGGGGGTGGCGGCACGTGCCTGTCAAATAGAATGATCGGAGCCGCGCACCCAGACATTATCAGCTGCTCTGCACATGCGCCCCAGCGCTAG